AAGCACAATCCACATCTGGAATTAAAGTAATTTTATCCCAATCAATTTGAGCAAGATCATATCAAAAAGATTGCTCATTAAAATATTTCATAAAACGCCTAGTTATAATTCTCGGATTCTGCTTCGGTAGCTTTGTATCTCTGGCTACTGCCACAACACAGTGGTCACTGATATCGTTTGCGAATACAGAAGCTAAAGAATATTTATGCAGAGCATTTGTAAAGATAAGATCTATTAATGTAGATTTTTCTGGGAATTTCAAATTAGGCCTAGTGGGTGTATTTACCAATTGAAAAAGATTATGACTATCACAAAACAATTTAAAATCATCAGATATTGAGTGCGTCCAATTAAGATTAAAATCACCCATTAAGATCAGTTCCTTGTAATTCATGAATGCATCATAGAATGTAAAACACAGCTAGAAGCTGAAGGAGGTCTGTAACAACCAGCTAAAGTACATATAAAATCTGTTACATTTAGAGATAAATAAATTAAAAAACACAAAATCATATTTTTTTAAACTAAAGTAAAATAAATATTAAATATAACATAAAAATAAGAATATTTTACATTTAAAAAATCTGTTACTTTTAGAGGTAAATAAATTAAAAAAACAAAAAAACACAATTTTTTTACTGAAGTAAAATAAATATTAAATATAACATAAAAAAAGAATATTTTACATAAAAATTCTTTTACTTTTAGAGGTGTAAAAAAAAATAAAAAATTGCATAAACTGAACGGTTTTATTTGCTCAAAGATAGTGATATGCCATTTATTAAAAAAAAAAATTGGGATCACATTTGAGACCTTTGTGCCCAAATTTGTCCACGAACAACCAGTTAAGAGCTGCTACACGAAGGATGCTTGAGGGTTAAGGAGTCAAATATTGCCTCGTGCGAAAGTTAATTAACGTCATTGATCAGAAGGTATTCCTAATTATTTTTAAGCAGAAGCATGAGAGCTCCTAAAAAAGTAAGCGTCAAGTCCTGACGAATGTAACGTTACCTTTAAAAAACTAATTGCAAATATTTATGTAAAGTATAAACTATTAAATATAAATCTACAAATCATGCAATGCTGTACCACTAAATAAGAAGTGTTTATATGGCTTAGCTAATCAGGCCAATTACAGACCATGATCATAATGAAGTAACAAATAAAAACAAAAATAAAAATATAACGAAAAAATTGAAATAAAATTTAAAAAATTTATAAAATTATATAAAATAAAAAATTATAAAATAATATAAAAATAATATTTAAAAATGATTTACAAATTATTTTATTTCAGCTAGCTGTCGAGGGAAAAAAATCGCATTTTCAATTAGTTTAATGTGATGTACTAAAATAACATATAATACTAAAACTTAAATAAAAACGAATAAAAACTATATAAACACATTTAAAAAACGAATAAAAAAAGAAAAAAAAAAACACAGCAAAATTCCTAAAACTTTAATAGAAAAAAAAAAAAAAAAAAAAGGAAAATATTAATAAAAACTAATACTATCAATACTAAAATAACACTGGTGTGGTCCGATTTAAAAATAATGACTCTAATGAGGCTGTTCCATTGAATGAATGAATCAAAATGCCTCAATCACTCACTGAATCAGTCGGAGTGGAAATATGTGACTCAAAACCAACAACTCTTTTAGTGTGATAAACTCTAAAATATACTAAGTAGTAATTGATTGTTCATATCAGTGTCTTTATGGTAAACTAAAATTGAAATATTGAATTGAATTAACACTAATTGAAATACAGCAGAAATAAAATGAAAATATTGGGGAAAAGTTTTTAAAAAAATAAAAAATTAAATGTGAAAAGTTGCCTTGGGAACTAACTGGAATAAATTGAAGTTGAAATACTACAATGACTAAAACTAAAAAATAAATAAATGACAAATAAAAATGACAAAAGCAAACAAAATTACTGAAATTAAGATTAAATGCAAACAAATTAAAAATGCAAATGTGCATAAAATGACTAACTACAAATAAAATGAAAACTGAAATCATAAAAAAATGTAAAAACTAAAAAAAGCTAAGGTACATAAAATTACTAAAACTTAAACTTAAATAGCAAACATAAACATATTTTTAAAAAAAAGACAGAAGCACAAAGCAAAATTACTAAAACTAAAAATGTAAATAACTTAAAACAAACATATGACAAAAAATAAAGCACAAACTTACTAAAACATAAAATAAATAAATAAAAATGACAAACCAACAACATAAAAAAAAAAATCTAAATGAAAAACATTAAACAATACCATTAAAAAACTGAAAACCTAAAAATAAAAGCTAATTCAGCATATTAATATTATAATAGCTTATAAAAAGCACTAAAATAGCACTGGTTCCTATCAACACCGACTGTACAGACGACTTTCATTTTAAATGAGACATCAGCTACTGAATAAAGGCTTGCGTATGTCAAACATAAAGAACAATACGAGTGTCTTTCAACACTCTCTGAAGCTAAAGAGACCACAACATACATGACCAAAACACACACGCATGACATATTCATCAAAAACACTAAACAATCAGCATCAACTGAAGTCTCCATAACTAGTGTCTTATTTACTATTGAGTGTGTTCTGGATGGTTTCTCACACTCCCGTGTCAATGTTCAGTCAGTGGGACTTTATTTTGCTCGCCTGGTTCAGTTCTGTAACTTCCTAAACAAACAGCGTGTGACCTTTGACCTTAGTTTGTGTGGTCAGGTTTAAGATCTGACCCTCTTCCTGTCCGCTCCCGTCTGCTTGACTCGATAAATAACACACTCACAGCTCTGTTTAAGTCTGTAATCTTCACAAACACGGTCATGTGAAATCTAAATCCTCTCCATTTACTGTCCTAGTCAATATTCCTGGTCATATTGTGAACACTTCAGGAGCTGGATTCATAATCTGCAATAATTTGCTCCATAATTTGCTCGTGGGCCACATGGGCGGGGAAAATATTACTTACCAATATAAGTAATATGTTATTATACAAACCCTAATAATATAGATTAAATAAAATCTGTTTGAAATAAAAATTTATATTTTCATGACTATTTGTCTTGGTTAAATTGATTTTTAATATTTTATTTGACTATTTTCATGGTGAAAACTAGGAATGTGCAAGCATTGCATTTTTTCTGGTAAAAAATAATATATAGGGCCTAAAAATTTAATAATAACATAATAGAACTATATAAATGTTGAATTGAAATAGCTGAAATAAAGCTGAACATTTTTACTGTAAATCTAAGAAATGTTGCCTTGGCGGCTAACTGAAATAAATAAGTTGAAGTTGAAATACTACAAGGATATAAATAAATAAATAAATAAAAATGACAAAAGCACATAACAAAATGACTAAAATTAAAATGAAAACGTAAATTTAAAAATTTAAAAAACTACTACAAAAACCACTAAAACAAAATAAGAAATATTACTACTGTAATATAAAAAAATTTATATTTAGGAAATATATAATAATAGTAGCAGTAATAATACTTTTCATTATTAAAAATATTAAAAATAATTATAAAATCAAAATAAGAAATATTACTATAATAATAATAATTTAGTATTTAATAAAAACAATATAACACCGTATCCTAACTACATGCGACGTGACGCTGCGACACGCGATAAAAGGTATGTTTTCCATGCTCATCAGAGGTTTGTCCTAACTAGCCGCGACGGCGACACGCGAAATTTCTATTTTAGATACTGTTTCTATTTCCGCGACGCCGTGGCTGGAGCAACAACGCACAAACTATATGACAATATGTAGATAATCCCAAGTGATTGTGCTTTATTCAAAGTTAAACGTGTCTAATGCGAGTTTGAATATCATTTTGCGTGACCTTATAGCTATACTGAAAGCAACAACAGATGCGTAAATAAACGTAAGCAAATTTGTACGTTAAAACTGGTAACTCACTGCGAAGCAACGAGCGTATTCCATAACAAAGATGATATCAGTCACTAAGTATGTATATTTAATGACGTTAAAAAGGTTTCTAAAGCATGCAGCGCCATCTGCTGTTCAAAATTAAAAAAGAATCGCGATGCATTCGAAAAAATCGCGGAATCATTTCTTGATTCGCGATGCATTTAATTATTTTTCCATCCTAGTTAGGACACATTAGAAATGTAAAATTACAAAACTAATATTTATTTATGAATTTACTATATATTATTATTATTATTATAAACTAATATTTATTTATTATTAATTTCTTCTATTTAAAATTTTAAACTATGTAGCTTTTATTATGATGGATATTCGTAACACTAGCTTCTCTTTTGTTGAGCTTCTAATTACAAGTACGGGAAGATTTTCGTACGTTGTGTTCCCAAATGCAATTTAATTCAAACTCAGCCTTTGTGATTTAATAATAAAGTCATGTCGTGATTTTGGTTTTATTTTGATTGATTGTGTAGCCCAATAAAAACTACACTTGAATTTAGAAATTGGAAATTCGAATTTCCCCAAAAAAAAAAAAAAAAGAAACTTCATATAGATTGTCTAATTGTTCACCTGATCCGTCAGGTTGGCCTCTTTCCGCATTCCTCTCCTGAGATCGACCAATAGGAGCGGGCTCACAGATGACTGGCGTCTTGGATTCCAAATCTGATTGGCTCTGTTCAGCATCCGCCTTTTCTGATTGGCTCTGCTTCAGCTGCCGCTTCTTCTTCAGCCTGCGATCCAGAAAACAAAAATACAACATTGTCAGCACCAACTGTGTCAAAACAGCAACAAAGAAACAACAAATCAAATCCTCCCACAGATTCATGACACTGGTCCTCTGCTGAGTGAATCTGTGCCAGATACAGAGAAACTGCAGTGGCCAGAGCCAAGATGGCCGAACAGGGCAGAGATTTAACCACAAACTTTCTTTACTGAATTCATTATATTATGAAATATACTTTCAGATATTTCTTTATGATTTTTCAGGCGAAATACGGCATGTCATGTTCTTGAGGTATGGTGAGATTCACCTGTAAACAGATGGACAGAGAAAGAGCGAGAGGGAAACCGGAGAAGAGGATTTTCTAATTGTGTATGACGGCGAGGGGAAGCCGATCGATCAAACTGGAGACTCACTCGAAGCTGAAGACGCAGGAAAGACTGCTGCAGTTATACACACACACACACAGACACACACACACTCACAGACACACTCACACACACAGACACTCTCACACACACACTCACACAGACACACTCACACACTCACAGACACACACACTCACACCGACACACTCACACACTCACAGACACACTCACACACACACTCACACACACACAGACACACTCACACACTCACAGACACACAGACACACTCACACACACAGACAGACAGACACACACACAGACAGACAGACAGACAGACAGACAGACAGACAGACAGACAGACAGACAGACAGACAGACAGACAGACAGACAGACAGACAGACAGACAGACAGACAGACAGACAGACAGACAGACAGACAGACAGACAGACAGACAGACAGACAGACAGACAGACAGACAGACAGACAGACAGACAGACAGACAGACAGACAGACAGACAGACAGACAGACAGACAGACAGACAGACAGACAGACAGACAGACAGACAGACAGACAGACAGACAGACAGACAGACAGACAGACAGACAGACAGACAGACAGACAGACAGACAGACAGACAGACAGACAGACAGACAGACAGACAGACAGACAGACAGACAGACAGACAGACAGACAGACAGACAGACAGACAGACAGACAGACAGACAGACAGACAGACAGACAGACAGACAGACAGACAGACAGACAGACAGACAGACAGACAGACAGACAGACAGACAGACAGACAGACAGACAGACAGACAGACAGACAGACAGACAGACAGACAGACAGACAGACAGACAGACAGACAGACAGACAGACAGACAGACAGACAGACAGACAGACAGACAGACAGACACACACACAGACAGACAGACAGACACACACACACACAGACACACAGAGACACAAACACATTCCTCCGCCCAGCTCACATCCCGTATCACAAATGACAGGAAACAGCTCATAACAGCATGTGATCCAGAGAGAGACATCAGACTGATGTTGATCTTCTGTTGTAGATGGATCACTCCTACATGATTTAAAAACTACAATCTTAAAGTGCCCCTATTATGGATTTTTGGAAATGACCTTTCATGCAGTTTGTAACACAGCTCTAATTAAATGAAAACTTCCAGCGAAGTTTTAAATCTGAAAGTGCACCGTGTATAAAGTTATTGTCTCTCAAAAGAAAGAGTCGACTCTGAATCATTGAAACGAGTAGTTTTTAAAACGAATCACAAGTCGTTTCATGTTGACGTCAACATGAAACATTAGCATATTGCCCGCCCACTTGTTGGTCTTTTTGAGTTGGTCTGAAAGAAAATGCTAATTCATTCTTTGCCACTAGGTGCCGCTTTTGGAGCGGTAAAATAGCGGTTTCCCCGGTAAGGCTGCACACAAAGCAGCACTGCGCTCACAGACACTGCTTTTTCAATCGGACCAATCACCGCAGCTTAGCGTCACGCAAAGGAGGGGTTTGGAAAAATGAATCCTTGAGCGAATCATTTGGGAGTCCTTGAGCAAATAAGGTCAAAATAAATGCATATTATAAGACGATGAAAGTGTTTTTTGACCTTGATTGCATGTCAACCTGTTGTTGGAGACTCCCAAAACCAAAATATGAACCTTTCATTACCCATAATAGGGGCACTTTAACACATGCCTCAGTGGAAATCTGAAAAATACTTTTAGATACCTTTTAGTATCTCATAATTATGACTTTTTATGTCATACTTATTACAAAGTATGGCATAATTGTAATTTTTTGTGATAGTAATGAATGACCAAAGCATGATTTTGTTTTGTTTTTATGTAGCAGAAATGGGCTATCCCTTTTAGTTGAAATATCTTAATCCTTAATAATCCTAAAATATCTTAATATTTTGACTTTTTGTCACAACTATGACACAGTATCTCATTAATGCTGATATCATAATTGAGTCATGATGTCAGAATTATTGTATAGCATCTCAAAACGTGACTTTTTCCCTTATAATTTCAACACTGTATGTCATAATTATGACTTTTTATATCCACAATTAGAGCTTTTCACATCATAATTTTGATTTATGTCATAATTACGACTTAGTATCTCATAATTCTGACTTTTCTATCACAATTTCCATTTTTTAGGTCATAACTATGGCTTATCTTATAATTATGAGTTTTTATGTGATAATTATGACATCTTATGTCAAACTTATCACATAGTATTGCATAATTACGTTTTTTTATGTCATAGTCATGAACTACAAAGCATGATTTTGTTTCTTATGTGGCAGAAATGAGCTATTCCAGCAAAATCTGTGTTAGTTCAAATATCTTATTCCTGAAACAACATTATTAATCCATCTTTCAGATCGCTTCAGCCCTTAATGTCTGCCTTCGGCTCTCAATTCCCATCAAGCGCAAGAGTTATTCTGATCCAACATCATCTCACCTGGCGAAGTATCCAGGCCTCTTCTCTGTCTTCTCCATCGCAGCAATGTTGCCTGAGCGTTCCTGTCTTCACAAAGACACAAAAAGGGAGGTGAATATCGGCCCCTAAATATGTGCGCCCTTATCTTTAGCCGCAGGTCAATGGGTCACGTAGAGGGTTGCTGCAATAACCCCAACGACATCAGCAACAGGGACGAGAAACTGTCGATTCAGACCGGATCTAGCCAGACTGAGCTTGTTTTTTGGGGTGAAGCCACTAGATGACATATCTTTATTGTTAAAACACTCATTATTGTTCAAGATCAACAAAGCCAGTGTTTGATTTGAGAGAAGCAGCATTGATTAGATTGAGCCTAGTGCTGGGTGGTATACCGGTTCATACCGAATACCGGTGTTTATTTTTATGATGATATTAATTTTTAAAATACCGCACACACAAAGCAGCACTGCGCTCACAGACACTGCTTTTTCAATCGGACCAATCACCGCAGCTTAGCGTCACGCAAAGGAGGGGTTTGGAAAAATGAATCCTTGAGCGAATCATTTGGGAGTCCTTGAGCAAATAAGGTCAAAATAAATGCATATTATAAGACGATGAAAGTGTTTTTTGACCTTGATTGCATGTCAACCTGTTGTTGGAGACTCCCAAAACCAAAATATGAACCTTTCATTACCCATAATAGGGGCACTTTAACACATGCCTCAGTGGAAATCTGAAAAATACTTTTAGATACCTTTTAGTATCTCATAATTATGACTTTTTATGTCATACTTATTACAAAGTATGGCATAATTGTAATTTTTTGTGATAGTAATGAATGACCAAAGCATGATTTTGTTTTGTTTTTATGTAGCAGAAATGGGCTATCCCTTAATTTTTAAAATACCGCAATAGTATGTCGCTTAAACAACGTTGAGAATGCGACACTGTTTGAAAGGGGTCCCTTTTCACTGTTGCACTGTGGTGAGGGAACAGCTGTATGTGTTACTAAGCGTGAAAGAGCTGTAGAACTGATAGAACGTGATGACGCAGAAGAACTCATCCACAATATCCACACTGACCTCCACAAATATCCAGCGCCCGCTGCCATCAGCTCCCGCGTCTCACACACACGAGCGCGACTCTAGCACTAGATTTAGCAACTTTCAGTCTTTTAGCGGCTTTTTTCCCATAGAATATTCATACTGACAAACCTAGCGACTTTCTTGGATAAAGCTTAGCTATGGTTCAGTTGGAGGATTTCTCCAGAGCTGTCCCGCGAGCGTGAGGTCTGACTTTCCCGGAGAAGTGTCGCCTCTCTCGGCGTCTGTTCTGTGCAGTGAGCGGCAGAGAAACAGCGTTTCCTAGCACCTGTCGCTTACTGATTGTTTGGAACTATAAATAAGAGCGTAGTTCGTCTGTTAATATCACATGCACGTTATTGTTTGTTGTGTTTTTAGTTAGTTACTCAGACGCAGGCAGTGCGCTGCACGAGACAGAAGAGTAATCTAGCCAAAACAACCGCATAGCCGCTCTTTAGTGTAGATGCATGTTGATTTTATCAGACGATGCCGCGATTATAAATGAGAGTGACTCCTGGTTAACATGTATTAAAAGGGGTCGTGTTTAGTCACTATTTAGTGTGGTATTTTTTGACAATATTCACTCATCGTGACAGTAAAACAGGGCATTCTAAGTCAATATACTGTAGTATTTCCTCTCAATCAGTAGAAAATATGCTTAACATCCGGTAATGCACAAAAAAAAAATACCGTGATGTACCGTGAAACCGATATAACTTTGAAAAATACCGTGATATACATTTTTGGTCATACCGCCCAGCACTAATCGAGCCCAAGCATTTGATTACTAACTGATATCTCAAATCAGTCTGCTTTGATAGACGCTTTGGTTACATGATGATGGGCAACCTGAATGGATAAATGACAATCACATTTCAGATCAATAAACAGAGAGGGAAACCCCACGTTTATCAGGTCTGACATGTGACACTCACGCGCGTTACAGCAGATCTGTCATATGCACAACATTGGAAATGCGTACCTGAGATGCATGCATTGCATACGAGGTTTTAAAAACGTTGGCAACAAAGACAAAAGATGACAACATGCATAACTTTATTTATCGTGACCGACATACAGGCCAAATGATGCATGTTATATATAAACGGTTATATCAGTAAATGCGAGCTTCTTTCTATATCAAAGCACAAAGACATTCCTATTGCATGTCGGGCTGAAAACAAATACAATACAGATAATAATGCAATCACATGCACATGTGAAGAGAAACAAAAACCCACCTAAACAAACACTAACGTTACATCCCGGAGGATCCAGCAGCTTCCTTCACTTCCAACAGCATCAGTCGTCGATCATATCAATAATCTTCTTATTCATGTGGATGACAGTGTGTTATTGTTGATAATATAAACACACACATGCACTCCGAGCTAACAGCTAAAGGTATTAAAGCCCCTCTATATCGAGATTCAAAGCTGACTCTGTTTCTTTGTTTCTGGATATTTCGGTAACACCGACGCCGGTTTTTGGGACTTTGACCCGTTTTATCGAGACTCAATCGGACAAAACGCTAGATATATAAAATATAATTATTTATGCATTCCCGTCTAAATTTAAATGTCGGTTCTCTCATAGGTCGAAGTCCTCTCGGGCCACGCCCCTTTCCCGTGTGATTGACAGGAAAAGCGGAAACGCCCCGCCCCCGCTTTAACTCCACATCCATATTTAGTCAAGTCAAGTCTGCTTTATTGTCAATTCTTCCACATGTACAGCACATACACACAGAGAATTGAAATTGCGTTACTCTCAGACCCTTGGTGCATACAGATAACATAAATACAGATAGGTACAGATTAAATACAAAATACAAAATACAACTATACAAAATACAAAATACAACTATACAAATATACAAATAAGGTAAAATGTAAAAAAATATATATAAAGCACAAGGCATATGGAAGATAGAGTGCAAACCAGTAAAGTAAACAACAGTGCAGATATAGTGATGTAGTGCAAAAAAATGATTTGTAGTGCAAAAGAGCTTATTTCAGACTGATTAAAGTGACAGTGTGTGTGTATTTGGGAGGGGGGGAGTGGGAGAGTCCATCAGAGGGTCAGAGTTCAGTGGTGCGTGGGGCAAAAGAGGGGAGGGGGGGCAAGGTCGGGAGGGAGTTCAGCTTTCTGACAGCCTGATGGATGAAGCTGTCCTTCAGTCTGCTGGTCCTGGCCTCTCCTCCCTGATGGCAGCAGACTGAAGAAGCTGTGTGTCGGGTGGGTGGGATCACCTGCAATGCAGAGGGCTTTGCGGGTGAGACGGGTGTTGTAGATGTCCTGAAGGGAGGGGAGAGAGGCACCAACGATCTTCTCAGCTGCTCTCACTATGCGTTGAAGTGTCTTGCGGCAGGACGCGTTGCAGGCGCCATACCACACAGTGATGCAGCTGGTCGCATTAGCATGACAGTGATGTGGTCTGAGGCACCGAGGTGGGGGAGGGGAAGGGCCTTGTAAGCTCCTCTCTGTGTGGTGTAAACAAAGTCCAGAGTGTTGTTTCCCCGTGTTGGAAAGTCTAAAAGAATTTATTATTATTCTTTATTAATTAATGCATGATTAACTAATTATAATAATTTACTATCCAAAATTAATTATTAAATATTTTTTATAATAAAATCTGATACGTTCTATAAAATAATTATATTGTATTTATTTTATAATAAATTATTTTATATAATTTAATAAATAAATAATAATAATAATACATTATTATTTTTTAATAATTAAGGCATGATTAACTCATTATAATTCACGATCCAAAATTAATTACATATTTTTTATAATCAATTCTGATACATTCTATAATATAATTATATTGTATTCATCTTGTAGAGCAGAAAGTCCTCATAGACCCGTTGCTGTGCAGCTCAGTCATGATCTGCTGCTGGTCCGAGGGAAGGTTAGACGCTTCATATCCTGCAGGAGGCCACAGACACGAGTTAGTGGAGACTGGAGACCCACGAGAGCAGAAGACCAGACTCACCGAAGTGTTTGTCCTGCTCTCCGGAGCACGTGATGCTCGCAGGGCAACCTAGACACCATCACACAGACCTCACAAATTACTACACTACTTCATTTTCAGAAATTACATCAACTATTTTATTTTTTATTTATTTTACATGATTTTATTTTATTCTAGGTCTGCAACCTAAAAATGTTCAAAAACCTCATAAATTCTACAACTCATTTTATTTTATTATTTTTATATTTTATTTTTATTTTACATGATTTTATTTTATTCAAGGTCTGCCACCTAGAAATGATCCAAAAGACCTCAGAACTCACAAATTTATGAAACTTATTTTATTTTATGCAACCTACAAACTTTCTATAAACCAAAAATACCTTAGAAAATCTACAACTATTTTATTTTATTTTTGTATTTTATTTTATGTCTGCAACCTAAAAACATAAAAAAATACCTCCATAATTCTACAACTTTTATTTTATTTGTCTGCAATCTAGAAATATTCAAAAAGATCTCAGAACTCAGAATACAATTTTATTCTTTTTTTATATTGTTTTTTTAAAGTTGTTTACATTTATAAAATGGTTCACACTCGTTTGCATTTGTTTTTTTTGGAACTCAAAGGGAGATATTTAGCATAATGTTCATGCCTCCATGCTGTCAGGGTCCATAAAAGTGTGTTGTTGCATGTTTGAGAAATGAATCTTTTTAAAACCACTTTGCTTAAGCTCAGTTCAGCCGAATGAATGTCTCAGATGATCTGTTATTGTATTTGATGAGCTTCAGCTCATGTATTCTGGTTGAAAGGCTGAAAAGATCCAGATGAGATCAACATGCAGTTTTCTACAGTGACATCGCTGTTCTGATCCAGACTCACCCACGTTAGAGTTGTTGAGTGTTGTTAGTGTTCCAGGTAATTGCTAGAGTGTTGCTAAAGTAATCTGGGTGGTTGCTATGGTATTTTAGTTGCTAGAGCGTTGCTAGGATGTTGTTGAGTGTTGTTATAGTATTCCAGGTAATTGGTAGAGTGTTGATAAGGTAATTTGGGTGGTTGCCAGGGTGTTGCTAAGTGGTTGCTATGGTGTAATAGTTGCTAGGATGTTGTTGAGTGTTGTTACAGTGTTCCAGGTAATGGCTAGAGTGTTGCTAAGGTAAACTGGGTGGTTGCCAGGGTGTTGCTAAGTGGTTACTATGGTGTGATAGTTGCTAGGATGTTGTTGAGTGTTGTTACAGTGTTCCAGGTAATGGCTAGAGTGTTGCTAAGGTAAACTGGGTGGTTGCCAGGGTGTTGCTAAGTGGTTACTATGGTGTGATAGTTGCTAGGATGTTGTTAGTGTTCCAGGTGATGCTAGTGTTACTAAGGTAAACTGGGTGGTTGCCAGGGCGTTGCTAAGTAGTTGCTATGATGTTGTTGAGTGTTGTTACAGCGTTCCAGGTGATGGCTAGAGTGCTTCTAAGGTAATCTGGGGGTTGCCATGGTGTTGCTAAGTGGTTGCTATGGTGTTATAGTTCTTAGAGCGTTGCTATGATGTTGTTGTGTTGTTACAGTGTTCCAGGTGGTCGCCAGGGTGTTGCTAAGTTCCTAAATGCTAAAATACACATCAACATTCAATGAATCAAATTAAATACATTTTTTATATATTTATTATCTCTAAATGTATTTACAACTCAAACTCCCACATTACATAGCAATGCTAATTAAACCGATCTTTGATATGTACAAAGTTCTCGCTAGCTATTCCACATAAAAGCTGAATATTAAGGGCACTTTACAGTCGTCTGCTGTAGTTCAAACGCTGGATATTTGGTTCTTTACTCCGCAGTGACTGAATATTCAAACTGACCCAATGAAAATGGACCAATTCATGTGTAAAACCAGACTGGAGTCCAGCGTTTCACAGTGTGGAGATGAGACCGGACAGATGATAAACTACATTGATGTTTGCACACTTCTGTTCTGAAGCCACACGACAAACATCCAAACCACACGAGTGAATCTGATGAAAGCAGACAAGAACACGTCTGCTCATTTTACACCCCATAATCAAAAACAAAACTATTTTTGGACGATTCAAAGTTTGTGCAAAAGTGACATTTTCATAATAATTTTTTTTTTCACTATACATTTTATATAATTTAAAAAATAGATTTTATTTTATTCACAAAAATATAATAACAGCACTGAGAAATTGTGTAATGAAAATAATGCAATAAAGCATTATAATGCATTATTTTCTTTATACAATTTCTTAGTGCTGATATCAGATCTGTGTAAATAAAATAAAATATATAAAATAATTCCATTATTGTTTTTTGCATTGTGAAGTATTATAATATATTTTTTATTTATTTAAATGTTTTTTTGTTTTAGGGTAAATATGATCTACACATGTTCTCCATACATATACATTTCTCCCAACAAAATTAAGGTGACGAATGGTTTTAAATCAGCAGACTGCAGCTGCTTGAGAGTCTGTGTATAACTGAGAACTTTTAAAGGAACCAAACAAACCTCTGTCCAAATGACAGCCTGTGATTATTTTATACTGGAAGGAAAACTTTTTCTGCACGTGTGCTTGATGTTTAAGATGATTTGATGGAACAGAACAGAAAATCAGCAGAAAAACCTCAGCTTCATAAAAATAACTTTAGAATAATTAACATATGAGTGTCTCAAATACATAAACATCCATCAAAGACACACAACTGAACACAGAACCACCGAGTGAAACTCACAAAACAAGTCATCAGACCATATATCACCACAAAAACAAAAGAAAAAAAATATTTCATATATATATATATATTTAATTTGTTTTTATACATGAAATATATAGAAAAGTATGTGTATGCGTGTATGTGTATATATTAGTTTATATATTTACTTTTCTATATGTCAAACATATATGTAAACTAAAAATTTAAGGGATGTAATTTGTTTTATATTTTAATAAAAAGTCATTAAATATATAAAAACTACATGTGTAATTATATATATTTCATTAGCTTTTATGTATGTAATACACAGAACACTATAAATATATATATTTACTTTCTTAATTTTTATACTTCTCTCTTGCTATATATATATATATATATATATATATATATATATATATATATATATATATATATATACACTTTTTTATATATTAT